CAAATGGATTATAGATGATAAATCAACTTGAAAATTAATACGTATGATTTAACATAAATAAAACATTAGTAGTGACTTTTTTGAAAACATTCACTACAGGATAATGATTTTAAAATTGAGATTTAATTTTTTTTAAGTTGAAACTAATATTACTGTTCCTTTTTTTTTTTTTTTTATAATTAGTTGCACAATGAGAAACAATTCTCTCTCATCTCTTATCACACCTCACCCGCGTAACATGTGATTCGAATTTATAATCTCTTACTTTATAGCGGAAGGAGATTACCATTGAGTTACTTAGGTTGTTGGTATTACTATTCTCTTTTTAAATAAGGTTTTTTGTGAAAAAATTTATAAGAAGTATTATCAAATGAAACTAAACTAGAGAACTATAATTTAACTATACAACACATTAAAATAATATAAAACTACTAAAACTCTTAGATAACATTTTTTTTAATACAAAAGGTTTTGATATGTGCTTGAAAATTATCTAGTAGCATGAGCCCTATAAGCACTAATAATTATTTCATTAGAGTATGGTGGTTTTAAAGTTTATACTTTATTTTTTTTTATCAAAATTGAGAATAATACTAGCTATTCTCTTTTTAAATGAGTTTTTTTTTTTTATGAAAAAGATTTATAAGAAATATTATCAAATGAAAAATAAAATAGAGAAATATAATTTGACTATATAACACGTTAAAAAAAATATAAAACTACTAAAACTCTTAGATAACATTTTTTTTAAATACAAAAGGTAGTGATATGTGCTTGAAAATCATCTAGTGGTATGAGTCCTACAAGAACTAATACTTAATTATAAACTTAAAATTATAAAGTGACATTAAATAAGTATAATATGATATTAAATCAATATAATATAATATTAAATGAGTAAGTACATATAATATTAAAAATAAATTTTTAAATAAAAAATTATTATATAATAAAATATCATATTATATATTTACAACACTAAATTATATTATAATTATAAGATTTTACTTATCTCAGATAACATTTCTACATAACGTTACCGGCCTCTTACACAACATGCTAGGAGGATACCTGGTTTATGTAGTATGGACAATAGGCCTTCGGGTAATTAGTAACCCATTATTGTTTAAAAGAGTCCTATAGCCCAGCCTTCCCATCTATTGGGCCCTTTATTAAAGCCCACAGGCATAACTCTCATTGAACTCCTTCCTGACATACATTAGTTTTCATGTGATGCGAAGTACATTTACTTTTTAAAGTATGGTTTAAAGGTACATTTTTTATTTTTTTATTAATTTATAGGAAAAAAATAAAAGTTATTTTAATTTTATTAATAATTCAGCTAAAAGTATTCATGTGATATTGGTGCTAAAAAAAAATTTACTTTTATAGTTTTTTATAAAAATTAATGATAAAAAATACAATAAATACTTCTGTATTATTTTTTAGGGCCTATTTGGTTAGAGTAAGATTATTTTGTGAAGCAGATTGTGTTGCTGGATGGATTATCTTATAGGGTAGATTATGTTGACGGGCAAATTATTTGTGTGAGATTCCTACGTTTAGTTACTTTTGAAAATTTTCCTTTTAGTATTTTAATTGACTATATTGAAAAATATAATTGGTTATATTTTTCTTTTATTTTAGGTTATTATTATAAAATATAATTAGTTATTAAGAAAAATCTAACAACTTACAAGATAAAATATAGTCGATTATAGAACTAAAATAATTGCTTATAAAGTAAAATGCAAATAGTTACAAAACAAAATATAATTAGTTACAAAATAATACATAACTGGTTATTTATAACAAAGTCTATTACAAAAGTTCAATTACTCTTTTGTTAATTACTTAGTTATTGCATTAATATAATCAATTATATAAACTATATGTATATTTTTTGAACATGAGGAATTTAGGAGAAGAAATAATTTTCAAGTAATTGATAAGAATAGAACTCTTAAAACACTAAGATTAGAAGTTTCTCTAGAAAGTTATTAAGGATATTCATGTCATTATTAAGGAAATTTTTCATCCATATAGTGATCATATGATTTATGCACCAAGATTCAACTAAGAAGGTTTTTTCCTTGTAGTTTTGATAACACAAAAAAAAAATAAAAAAATGGAGACTTACGCCTGATTCTTCTTTTTACAAGAAACATAGTTTCCTTATAAACTTTGAAACTAAAAAATATCAAATATCAAAATTTTTTATCCATGATAAACTTACCAACTATTTCTTATAATTTTTGAGTATACCAAACACCTCCATAATGTTTAGACTCAATAATAATGTTGTTTGAAAAATCCCATAAAAAAAATTGTTTTGTTTGAAAAAGGTGAAATCACTTTCATATATGGCCACCATTAATATTTAACGACCGCTGCTTTATTAAGACAACATGGTGGTTTGGTTGGATCCATTTCGAGCATTAAATTGTAGTTGGGCAGCGGTGCAAGTGGATATGCCTTTTATTACTTTTTGCTGCCGTTTGGCATTCCTCCGACGGCAGCCCCACCGCCGTCACAACAGCTGTAGCGGTCCACAAATAGGCCAAACGTTTCTGGACAGGTGTCCTCATCATAATTTGGTACAGTACTTACTTTTTTTTTTTTACTTTTTTGAATAATTTGTAATTATTTACAAGTTAATTGGGAAGAGAGGAAAAAAAATTTCGTAAGACTCGAACGTACAATTCATGAAGATGAATAGTCATAACCAGGATCCGATACCATTGAGCCGGAACAAGCCGTTTCTTTTTAGTCGGCCGAAATTTGTTAGGGTACTTGATAGCAACATTATTAAAAAAGTTCGAAAGTTTTTGAGTACTGGGTTATGGAGGAGTTTAATTATTATTATTATTCAAATCAAGTGTTTGATTAATTATCTTAGTAAAGATGAGAGCTACTTTCTTTACAAGACTCCATTTCATGTATAGTATTTTGTGTTTTTTTTTTTTTTAATGTTAGAGGCATTTAATTAAGTTGATATTTTTAATTGTTGATTAATTTGACATATAGTTAATTTTAATTTTTAATAAACAATATTTATTATTTTTAAGTATTTATTTACATATAAAATAAACTTAAAAATATGATGAAATTTTTGAATAAAATGTGAATATTATTTATCTAAAAATATAACGTGTGTAGCAATTAAGCAATAATGTCTTGCAACCAACGGTGTATAAACTGTAAGATCAATATAATACATGTACATTAAAATTACAAAAAAAGATAATTAATTTGAGATAAATTGTTATTATAAATGTTAATAGATGAAATACTTAGTAGGACTTCATTTAGTATGGTTATGAATTTTTATTTTAGTTTTGGTTTTCATAAATTTTGCAATTTTAAAGTCTAAAAAAAAAAAACCTATTTTGATTGTATGTGATTGTTAATATATTATTATGATTATTAGTGAAATAAGAATAAAAATAGTTTTAATTAATACTATTAAATAAGTTTATAGTTTTAATTATGAATGTTAAAACTTATTTTAAACAAATTATTTGTTTTCAATAATTACAAAATTTTTTAAAACTAAAACTAAAACTAAAACTAAAAATTAAAAATCATAATCCCATTAAACATAGCTTAAATTTAGCTATAATTTATTTTCATCTTATAATTTATATTACAATTGCGTCTCATAAAAAAAAAATTTTTTTGCCACCCCAAAATCTTGGTGTAGCTCCGTCTCTCATTGTTAGTTTTCTTCTAGGAGAAAAAGAAAGAGAGCAAACGCCGAAACCCCATATTCAGACATAGGTGTTCTTCCCTAACAAGAAATAAATTCTTCAATGCAACGTGGTATTACATTAGCAGTATTCTCAGTTAATGCGAATCTAACATGTTACAAGTTCAAAGTTCTACATTAGAAACTTATTAGAAATTGTTTATGTTATATTATTGTCGGCTTCCTTGATGATTTTTGATGATGAGTTAAAATTATAATTTATTGGTATTTAATGAATTTTATTTTAAATGTATAGGTAAACTAATTGGATGTTTCTATTCTTTTCTCATGGTTAGAATCAAAACTTAATTAACTCCTATCTTCCTTAATAAGAGTTTTAAATTTGAAATGATATAATTTGATTCAAACCAATTTCATAGAATCGAAGTCAAAGTTTTTCCAAAAATGGTTTGAATCAATATATAGGGATTTGAACCGGAAATTCAAAAAGTGTCACTTTTGACACCTTGATAGACAGCTTTGTTTTAATAAACCATATATAGAGCTTAATTAGCTACATTCCTTTTCAAGAAAGAATTTAAAGACTTGTTATGGAAAATTGAAAAAAGTGAAATTAAATTAGAGCAACATTTGAGGAGGTATTGAAGACAAAAAAGGAAGATATAACTGCAAAAGGTTCCTGCGCCAATCATTTCAAATCAGATTTAGTTTCAAGAAAACTCATTGTTTTCTTTTATATAAAGCATATTCTAATTTTCTATAAAATAATTCTTGTGAATTTAATTGTTCCCCTTTTTTGAGAAGTATCTTTGGAGGCTTTTTTTATTTTATTATTATTATTATTATTATTTACAAAGGATCCTATATTCTACATGAATCAAGATTTTATTTTGGAGGGACGAGTGAGATTGTGAAGTACCTCACCTGTATATGGCTCCTACTTCCTAAAAAACTAAAAGCTAGATATGATGGTTTAATCGTGCACTCATAAACAAGAAAACCTTATTAGATTAAACTCTCTAGCGATGAGTTTGAAAAGTGAATGTTTTCTAAGTCAGAGAAATCACTATTAATCACAACTTGATCATTTTTTTTCTGCACTTTCAATTTTATGTTTTTATACTATTTGTGTGATTTAATTGAAATTTGGGTAAACCTTTGGGTTTTCACTATGTTACAAGGTCCTTGCTAACATGTCTAAAAATTTACTGAAATGACAACTTTCCGTTAGCCCAGGAAAAAAAAAGAAAGGGAAAAAGAAAAAAACTTGCAACATGATATATGCTCTATTGCAACGAAAACTTTCTCAATAAGAAGAGGATGTCTCTAGTTTCAAGCACTTTCAAATAGCATCTCTATGAAGGTTAAATATTAAATTTAGTCACTCAAACTTTTATTTTTGAATAATTTTAGTCTTTATATTATTTTTTTGTACTTTTTCCTTAAATACGAAAAAAAATGTTTTTTATTCTTTTATAAGTTTTAATCATTAAATTTGTCTAATTAGTATTTTTATATAGGGTTTGTTTAACTTGTACCCTAAGGACACATGTTAAAAATATAATAAATATAATTTTTTACAATTAATTTACACAAAAAAAAAAGACAAAAGTTAACTTTTATTTTAGTATCAATATTACATAAACAGTTTTAATTAGTTAATTAATTAAATTTAAATTAATTTTTATTAGTTTTTATGTATATTAATTATTAAAAAATGTATTTATTACATTTTTAACATGTATCTTTACAATACAAATAAAAAAATCCTTCTAAATATTCTTTAATGACTTGAATGTGCGTTAAAAAATGTTCAAAACCAAAAGAGTAAGTTGTACAGCTCAATAGATAAAACTTACAAAAGAATTAAAAATATATATTTTTTATAATTGAGGGAAAAAATACTAAAAATAATTTAAGAACTATAATTATTTAAAGGATTTTTTTAAAAATACAGATTAAGAGTGTATTAAATATTTTTTATTATAAATATACACAAAAAATATATAAATTGATATTAATTTTGATATTAAGTGAATTTAATTGGATATTTGATAAATTAAAAATTAATTTTTATTTTTTTAATATAAATTTATAACAAAATGATATATTTAATATATCATTAACTTAAAAGCACATGTTAGATAAATCTTTATTTAAAATTAAAAATTCAAGAATTAAATTTGACATTTAATCATTTATGAACTTTTAATATAAAGCAGGCTTAGTTGACTACCAGCCGCTTTTATTGGTGTTGTGGTGCCATCGTTAAATTTTTTTGGTATCTAAAACAAATCGTATAAAGGTCCACTATCAGTAAATTTAATAGAAACAGAAAAACATATAAGGTGCAACATTTTTCAACTCAATATACTAATGGTCTTCTAGAATGTAAAGAAATAATGCATTAATTAATTGACTTCAATTAATGATGCGAACCATTACACGGTCCAAAATTCCACCATATTACAGAAAATGTTTCATATTGTTTCACTTCACCTCAAAACTTAAATTGTGAGGTAAACCCCCAACCCCCCATTTACCAAGCAGTGCCAAACCAATGGAGTTAGTACTAATGTTGCCCGACCAGAGACAAATCTGTGGCAGACATTGTACCAATAATAGACCATACATATTCAAACTCTATATGATTATGTTGTCTAGGAGGTGTGGTAAGATTGTTCAAGTTCAAACTCTAACCTTTTAGATCAAACTGTGACTAAATTATCATGTGTAGTGGCGTGGCATGCTAGCACTCCCTCGAAGAGACCCAAATTTTGAGGTGTTTAAATGTGGACATTGACTTACTCCGTCTCTGTTTCCTAACATTTTTGTGCGTAACATTATGAGATAATTTATATAATAGAAATAAGAAAATTAAGATTTCATAGCGTTCAGGATGTGTATTATAATTATTCGTGAGTAGATCTTATTCTTGAAATTCACTTAACAGATAATTATGATGGA